CATAACAAATGACACAGAAAGAAAGAATTTGTGAGACTTAATTCTGCAGTGGCAACTGCCATGTGGTCTATATCTGTTTGGAATACGTGCATATCCAAAAAACACAGTGAGAGGTGTGTGTCTGTGTGTCTGTCTGTGTGTGTATGTGTGTATGTGTGTGTGTGTGTTATGTGAGATTAGGAGCAGAGACAGCTGTGAGTCTGTTCTGGATCATCCTGGATTATAGGATGGGCTCACAGCTGCAACCTGGTCTCACACACATACACCCAGAGTCACAAACATATAAACACAAAACATTTCTATTTGATATAAATATACATATAGTATATTATTATTCATCTACTGTGTTGTGGCAGTTGTGAATTTGACATAATCATAACTGTTGCTGCTTAAAATGTCTACACTGTTTTACTGAAAATGTATTGTGTTATAAATTGCCTTTAACATCATCATGACAACAGGCCTATATTTTTGTTTTACATAAACACAATCCATTCCAGATCAGTGAAATGAAATACTGCAATACCAGAAATACCTAAAAATGCGACCTTATAATCCTCCAGATTCCTGACATCTATCTATTTATGATGCATTTTTCACTGGGGCATCTTATTTTGTTTAACCAGATCTTAATAATCAGTAGTAAAACACTGTTGGTCTGTCTGGCAAGGAGAGTTTCTCACCTCAAGTGTGGCCCAAATTAAAAAGGACCAGTAAGAAAAGAATCTATCCATATGGCTTTGCCTTATTGCACAAAGGAAGGGTTGGATTATTTTCACTGAAAGGAATTATTATTACTGCACATTAGTGTCTGGCGATTTACCAGATGACCGGATATACCGGTTTAAATCTTCCGTATGACATGAATTTGTTATATACCACTGCTCATATACTGCTGTTACTCATTTGTTTCTTGTGCAATAGAACATTTGAGAAATATCTCATTAAATACTTTTAAAAAAATGTTTTTTTAATGTAAAAATGAACAATAAAAATTGTTTACATTCAGATTCCTTCATATATTGTATCATTTCGTGGGGCCAAGCAATCCCTGTAGTACTCAAAGATTTCAGCATTTACAGAATGACATTTAATTGTTTTTATATACTATGTACGCCTGACAGTAGAATAAACCACTATAAACTTACATAAAGTCTTCATATAAAAAAATACCATGATATACAGTGAAATTGCCAGGACCTCCACCAAGGACTTTTTGGCCATACCTCCCAGCACTACTGCACATAATTCATATTCATGGTAATTAAGCTCGTCATTTGTTTGTTCTTTTGCCTTTCAACAGACTGCCATAACACCCCCAGAACATTTTGTTTTTGCTGACCTTGTTTTAACTTCTCACCTTGCAGCAGAGACGTATAAGTTTACTCCTCGACCCCATAACATCCCTGTTGGTAGGGTGTTACAGGTGCAAACAGCCTCATTGTGCATTAGAAAACTACTCAGATAAAACAACCAAAGAGCTAATAGAACAATGGCCAAGCATCAGGGTGAAGAAAACACTGAATTTGTCCAAAAAGACAATGTATGATTGTAAAAAGAAAAGTTTATATATACCCTAAAGAGGACTGTATAAAAATGTCCTTAAAATATTCAGTATTTGGAGGAAATAATCTGCTCAAAATTCACCCAAATCACTCATTTTACACAAACTTCCTGCAGTTATTATGATCACTATTTGGGTTAATTGACAGTTTATCAGTTATTCTGTACTGTTATTGTTATCCCTTGAATATAATATAATAATAACATCCATTAAATATATCAGTCAGGGCTTGTCAGTTTACCCAGTGATAAAAAACAGGTTGCTTAAGGAAGAAAGTTGGTGGTCTTTATTAGTCTGAAAGGGTGTTGCTGGGTGTGGTCAAAGTTAAAACAACTGCCAACCAGAGAGGCAGTGAAACATCACCCAGGTGATAGGTAACTCTTTAAAGCTAACATAAGATAACATAAGACAGACTTTATTGATCCCACACTGAAGAAATTAATTCGCTACAGCAGCTCCATATACAACACAACCGATAAGAAAATACACATTAAATAAAAATTAAACAGAAAAATACAAGATATAATGAAAATAGGGGGGGAAATAGAATATGAGAGATTATATAACGCTTTTTTATACAGATGTGATTGATATTGAACATTGTACAGGTCACAGCAGGAGGTAGTGGCATGGTATAAAAATAAACAATTGCGACTACTGCTACTATGAATATACAGTGCATGTCTAATACTAATAAAGTGCATGTAGGAAGTTATATAAATATATGTATGTGAAACTGCACTGGACTAATGGACAAACAAACCAAATACCGCACATGCATGTGTATCCAATCATTCTTACAGAAATGTAGAGAAAGTTTCAGCTCATTGTTGTCTAGCAACTGCTCTGATAGTGTTTCTTTCGGCCATAGCAGGTAGCTGTTTCTACCAAAAAATATCCACGTTATTATTATGTAACGTTACCAGCTTCGCACCAAAAGGTGAGCAACTAGTTGGCGGATATAGTGGAACATTTAGCACCTGAAGATTCAGATATTTTTCTAAGGGGTTGATAGAGACCAAAAACTGAGCTAAAACAGAGTGAATATTGGACTCATATTTATCAGGTGACGAGAAGCATGACTCTAAATGAATGATAATGATGCTCCGTAACTAACTGGGTGTGTAAAAAAGCAATGTTTGTTAACAGGTTTGCCATATCAACTTCAAAGGTGTTGATATGTCAATGTTGTGTTAACGACTTGTTTCCATTAAATATGTAATAAATAGCAAGAAAGTAAATCAAAACATACATAATCTCTTCCATCCCCATATTTATCGTAACCCATCCATCATATGGCCATTTAAGGGTTAACTGATCATCTCTATGTCCTTATTTTTATTTTCAGCTGTCCAGAGGATGGCCCAGGCCCACCTGTCCTCCCTAGATATGTCTTCTGTGGACAAAGAGGAACCCTCTTCTGGGGAGGAAGAGGAAGAACGTGAGAAGGAGATCCAGCAGACAGCATCAGACACAAGTGGGTCAGAAAGATCTTTCACATTAAGCCATTTATCTATCTTATGCTGGCATTTGTACCACACATAGACACTGCTTAAAAAAAACCTTTCTTGTCAGATCTAAGAGAAGAAAGCAAACCAGTCAGGGATCAGTGTGCTCCACCGGCCAGTTTTACAGGAAGTGCTGATCTCAGCAGTCACCACGGAGATGAAGAGGAGGCCAAAGAAAGAGATGAAGGAAAAGGAGAATGACAAAAGAAGAGGACTCAGATGGAGAGTGTTAGTGAGGAACAGACTTGCATAGTGCACATATGGGCCATACGTGTGTGTGCACGGGTGTACGTATGAGTGTGTGTTATTTGGGTCTGTGAGTGTGTGCATGCATGTGACAGAAGAGTTTAATGTGGAAAAAAAGGGGGAGAGGAAAACAGACGGGCCTTGAGGAAGGTCAGAATATTAATGAGCAGGTATAAGGAAAAGTTTAACCTGAGACTTGTGAAGGAAGTCACGTCTTGGTCGGCCAAGGAAGCCAAGGCTAAATCCCAATCAGCCAAGGACACTGTACAAGAAATATGTTGCTGTTTAGGTTCAACAGGATTCGACTTTCTCTTTGGGTAGTTTTTCCCAGAAAACTATATCCATGTGTGAAGAATCTGATTTTGGCTTGCCTATGTCACTGAGTGATACTGGTGCTGAAACACACAGCTCAAGATAAGACTTCCATGTGTTACAAGAGGTAACAAACTTACATTTACAGTTCACATATACACAATCTTATGCATATTTTACATGTAAGATTCAATTTTATCTGTAGTCTGCAGTGATGTTTGAGGGCCCTGATGAGGTTGTTATTTTATAGCATGTCTCATAGAATTTGGCCAGAGGTTGTGGATTATTATAGTATATAATACACTATATTACATGATATACCTGATGAATATACAGTACACAGTAAACAGGTGGAGAGCCAATCCCTGTTGGAATTTAACCCAAAAAACGACGCTTTCAGTTTGCTTTCTTCAGCCTTGTAGACATACGCATGCAAGGTCAAGGAAATCAAAGTAGGATGGATTACCAACAGTTTGAGCGCAGTCACAGCCATAGCAGGTCAGATTACATCATATCAGACTAATCCAACTAATCATGATAATGCAGGACAGTTTTTCTGGTTTAATATTATGAACAGGCTTTTTGTAACAGGGCGATTAGCAAACATGATCTGTTTTGGGATGGCAGAGATAAAAGATGGCAACTGAAAGAAGACCTATTTTTTCTAAAACAATATATATACAACAAGTGTGAACCTTGTATATAAATTATGTTTTGTGTTGGTTGCTAATAAAACAATCATAATGGACCGTTGGCGTTTGTGTGATTGTGTCTGTAGAATTAATCTGTAGGAATGTACAATGCTCCAACCATTTTGGACAGGAAAATAAAAGGCTTTATTTGCCATTTCAGTTAACACTTGGAGTCAACATGTAATTTGAACATGTGACAAAGTGTATCAGAATCAGAAATACTTTAATGCATGCATTTGAATATAGCAAATGACAGCAGAGTTTTATTAAACGAGGAGCCCTGAACACATTTTGGCACTTTTATGATCTTTGTTCTTGTTCATTTGTGAACAGCCTCGGATTAGATGTACCAAAGACTGTTAATATCCTTCAAGATTATCCAAGTTTAGTTCTGTTTTGGGGTCCACGGTCGATATCTCGTGAGCAACTCAAGATGGCCAAGTACTGATGCCCAGTGTTCAATACTTCTAATTACACAATCCCATTCTTAGAAGATTGATAATATAGCAAATATTAAGATTAACCCATGAAACTGCAATGATGTTTTCTAACACACCGTTACTATCACATTTACACTGCTTCCACCCATCTCGGCCTCCATATATTTCAATATCGACAACAGGTTGACATCAACATGATGTTACCATTCTGAGATAAGAAAACATAATGAAATAAGCATTGTTTTAGCCTTGCTTCTTTATTCACTTTATCACAAATTACAAAACACAATAGGCCACTCATCAACCTCTTAATTGAATAACAGTTAATTGAAAAGAAGTATATAGTATATCAAAATATACTGTTTATAAACGGCTGGGAAATTGCTATGTTATGATTTTATATGATGTGCTGAAAACCAAAAATTGAAGCATTACATTCTTGATGCTGTAGTTGCTGTGTTTGAACTGCAGGAGGCAATGTGTGATTACATTTCTAACACTGAGAGCTCCTCTGGCAACAAAAGGGAATGTCAGTACTATTCACCCTCAGAAAACACATCTAATAATCTTTTCCTACGAGAATCAGCAATATTAGCAAAATTATTGAGTATCACAAAGCATCTTCTAGCCCAAAACAAAACAAAAAATAAAAATATTGGTGGGTATTATTTTTACCAATAATAAAAAATGATTGGTAAAAAAATATAAAAGCATTACCAACAATTGTTTGCTGTGCTTAAGCATGCATTTACCTCGGCTTAATCTATAATACTTTCATCTGGATAGCTATTTCTTCGCTTTTAACTTTAATACCCTTCACCCTTTGCCTTTTCTCCCTCTTTATCTTTTAATCCTTTCTTGCCTTCGCAAAAAACACCCCAGTCACATCATCGACCCCCACCCTCATGTCCTGAGGCAGTGTGTAAACCTCCAGCCTGATCAGGGTGTAGCCGCTCTCCTTCAAACTATCACAGACCTGGGCCTCAGTCAGTGGGACCACAGGGATCTTTACGCCAGGCCCTCCAAAATAGTAACTCTCTCCCAGGGCTCCGATGAGCAGGAGGTGGCCACCAGGCCGCAGAAGCCTACCAATGTGGCCCAAGGCCCTGGTGAAAGCAGCCAAATCAGGGCTGACGCTCTCCAAACAGAAGCAGGACACGAGGCAGTCGGCACCTGCTGAAGGAAGGGCATCATGGGCCAGAGGCTGAGGGCGGTGCACGTCAATGGGGAGGATGTCGGTGATGACCTGACGTAGCTTAGCAGCTTTCTCTGTCCATGCTGAGGGCCTGCTGGAAACAATATAAATGACTCGCCACATTACATATGAAACAGCTACTGTAAATGCACAACACAGCATTAATCTAAACTACACTATACTCTACACAAGATTTGGTACAGACATTAATTTTGGTCCCACTATGAGGCTGGCAGTGAGTGAAACTTTCATTCATTCTTCTCCCCCTCAGGATAGATTATAATCAGCTTGGTTATCTTTTATTGGTTAATTTGTGTTACTTTGGTTTATGACCAAATAATTGCAGAACTAATGACATTCCCATCAGCCGCAGCTCCACTTTTGTGTTTAGTGTTGATCATCAAATGTTAGCATGCTAATAAGTTAAACTAAGATGGTGAACATTTTATTTGCTCAACATTGCTGCAAGCATGTTGGCATGCCAACGGTAGCTCAACTTCACAAAGCTGTAGACCCTAACTACACATTATTTTTTGGTTTATGAATATGCCTTTATATGCCTTCTTGTCAAACTGACTCTCCAAATCAAGGCACTTTTATTATCACAATAGGGACAGTATAAGGATTAGTTGTGCTCAATGAGAGTGCCAGAATAAAATATGAAACAATTATGGCTCTTTAAAGAAGTCAGTGAATGAGCTAAAAATGTTACCACAAGGAAAGAGACGAAGGTAGTGTAGAGTGCTATTGAAAAGTATATGATTGTCTTTATTGTTTCACAATAAAGAGTAATTATCTCTAGAACATACTGTCCATTACAAATGTAAATCATTAGTGACTGAGATTTCCAGATATTTGAGGTCTTCAAACAGAGTTTGAATGGACCTGGTCATACCGTCGTCCCTCCAGCTTGCAGACGTGCTGCAGGTACGGAGTCCAGTCCAGGTTGCAGCCTCCATCATCTTGGAGCCAGTGCTTCAGCTCCTCCCTGTTGACCTCCAGGAAGTCTGTGAGGAGCACCTTGCTGAAAACCTCACAGCCACTCAGCACCTGGTACAGGGTGGGACCCGAACCTATGTCCACCAGCAGCTCTCCACTCACATCGCCTGGAAAGAGGAGAAGCGACACTCTGAGAAAGACCTAATTAAGTGTTCTTTGCCCAAATATCTTGATTAATATGCAGCTCCTATTCAAATATATTGACAATAGAGAGACACAATATTTATTATTTATTATTATTATTATCATTATTAAATGATAACTAAATCCAAAGAAAGAATATAAGAAAAATATGTTTAGTTTTGAGGAATAATGTGTGGAATATGAAGAAAGATAAATTAAAAAGAGGAATATGGGCCTAAAAAATGTTTTTTAGATCGAGCAAATCTGAAAACTCCAGCATTAGTTTCAGTTAAGCCTAATCCTATATTTTACCTAATTTTGATAAACCGTCACATATTCTGGAAATGCTTGTTTCAAATCACATCTGTTGATAAAAATGCAAAATATATATATATTTTTTACAGTTCTCTCTTTTGTTTCAAATTGATGTATTTGGTGTGTTTGGAAACCTTGAGATCTAGATAGAAAAAATTACACAAACAAGATGAGAGCAACTGAGAATAAAAGAGAAATAGGGAGTTGTTATATTAGATTTCAGAGAGTTGTGTGAGAGAGAAAAACAGAGAAAAAACAAAGGAATAAAGTTTATATGATCCATCACTCTCCTTACCTTCATTGAAAGCCCTATGCAGGCATGCCAGTTTCCATGGCACAATGCTGTCCTTTCTTTCAAAATCAGCCCGTGGTGGCGTGTAGTTATACTGTAGATATGCTGCGGGATCAAATCTCTGGTAGTAGGCTGCCATGGCCGCTACTCCACTCGCTGTTCTCTTTTCTTCCATCCTCCCGTTTACTTATGTAATACCTCTGTTTGTTGGTCAGCCTTCAGGTGCACTGCTACCTCATCAACCACCTTATATACCTGTGTATGTATGTGGGTGCGTCTGTGTCATTATGTGTGTGTCTGTGCTTTGGCTACTCTGAGTTTCCTGAGAAGAGATAGCAATCCTATTTTTGGGCCCGTGTTGCTGCCTGATAGCATTTGTTCTGTTCATGCTCCCTGCCCTGAGGCACTGATACCATCAGATCAGGGGGCTTCCTCCAACACTAGACCCACTAATGGACTCCTCACATGGCTTTCAGGTCTTTCACCCACCTCTCAAAGGCCTTCCATATCTCCAAAATCATTCTACAGGGCCTTTTACACACAAACAAAAGACCAGATTTGGTCTCAGGCAACCCTGTTTGAAAGGCACAAACAGGTCTATCTCTGGGACAAACATTTCACTTTGCTGATGTTTGTATTGACGACAGGCAATATTAGATCATTACAGAATTAGAGGTTGTCATAGGGTGCACAGGAAGAGGTTTATTATTATTATTATTTTGTGCAACAACTTTCAAAGTATAAATGTTTCATAAAGTCCATCAAAGACGAGCAAGATGATAGCCAAGAGGAAAAATGAGCAATGATATCTTTTGGTAGTAAAAACACAATTTTTTGGTGTAACTGCATATTTGTATATTGGAGATTAAGTATAAGAACTGACACACAGATTAAAGTTTTTAAATTTAAATAATTTGAACATATAACAAACATATTTTATGGCCTTGTTGTTGACTTAAATCACGGAAATGTGTGAAAATAATAAAGACCTTCACACTGATTTGATGCTGGTTAACATTTAAAATGTATGTATAGACAGTGTTAACAGTGTGCTCTATGACATTAAATTAGTTCCTCACATTTATTTTCAGTTTTAACAGACTAAAAATCTCCTCACTTTACTGTATGTTCAGCAATACATTTATTTTGTGCCAGGGAATGACACAAATCTTCTTTATCGCTCCATTAAAATGACTTTCTAAATGTTGAAACCACTAGTCACAGTGGCCAGCTGACAAAACAGGGAGCTTCATCCCCTGATTGAATTCATTTTCCATCTATTCCCAGTGAATCCCAAAGCAGCAGCTGAACCAATGTGGAACATGGCCATGTAGTAATCAAACGTATTCTCCCCAGGAGTCTCTTAACACCTCGCTCATCCCTGGCAGCTGAACCTGAATCCAGAACAGACACACACACACACACACACACACACACACACACACACACACACACACACACACACTGACCCCTTTTCAGACATCCAAAATATTACAGTGTCCAAGGGAGACAAGTTATTTACAATGTGGAATTCTGCCAAGTGATTAGTTAAAATTAGGATATTTGGAGATTACAGTGAGAGGTAGATTAAGTAAAAGGGGTTAAGAGTTTTCTTTATTTAAGCATACTTTACTTTTGGCATTACCTCTGAGTCTTCAAACATTCAGTGTTTATGGTATTTGGACAGAAATGTGATTATAAACGCTGGAGAAGTTTCACATTTGCAAATAAAACTCCGGAAGGGCTGAAGCTGCTTCATCTAGAAATATAAGCATGCAATATATTTTCAGATTATAATGCATTTAGAGTACACAAATCGGCTGTTGTAAGAAATACTTGAATTTATAAATGTTTGTTTAGATTAACAGATAAAATATGAATTAGAATTAACGCCTCAGTCTCTAAAAGTGTCCAATTATTTGTACAAAATCTGTTATCATTTTTGTTCTTTCCAGATAAAATGAAAACACAACTGTCACAACTATATCCTGAAAGAACCAACAACATAACCCTTTGTGAGCATTAATCTAAAAAGCTTTTCATGCTAATGATGAAATCTGTCTGCAATGAAAATACTTTTTTTTTCATGAAAATTAAATATATTTTAATGACAACCATTTAGCCAAGACAGTTACATTGTAACAAGAATCTAGTTTTATTTCAAACACAAACAATCACAATTAATTAAGCTGCAAAGAAAAATACAGATGGTGCTTGCATGTTTAAAGAGACAACAAACGTTTCAGCCCAGAAACCTCGGCAACTTTGTTATCTTCACCACAGTGCTATCCGGTCTCATGGTCACACAGCATACTTCCTTCTGCATATGAACTGGGCCTTGTTGCACTTTTGGCCCTTTGGCAAAGGGGTCGGAGATGGGCTGCTGGGGTCGTCTGGTTAAGTGTGTTTTGGGCTTTGGGTAATTCTTGCTGATGACTCCTGAGAGGAACCGCTGGAGGAGCCTCCTGGCCTCCCAGTACCTTGTTGAGCACTCTGCCTCTATCACTGTTGGCCTGTAAAAGGGTCAGAAGCCACACACACACACACACACACAAAAAAACCTATATGAAAATGCCTCTAACTGTAACAGTATTTTGACATTTCTTTCTCAGCATGTTGGTTAAATACCACCACTAACATGTTTGCCTCTATCACTACATTTACACCCGTTCTTCATGTTTAAATATTATTCAGTTAAAGTGTGTAAATCTGTTGAAATGGAGAACATTTTCACTAACCTGCAGTGATGCTGTGGGTAGAGGGTGAGGCTGTGCCAGTGAGCCGTGTAGCTCTGTCCTCGCTGCCAGTCCTCCTCCAGGACGCTACAGTCCAGCTCAGCTCTACGTGTACCACCCACACTGCACATCCCTGCTGCCTCCACCAACCAACCACCAATCCTGTCTGGATTGGATCAGTATGGATGAGAGAGGTCAGAAAATTCTTAGATAAAATGTAGAAAGAGAAGCTCCTACACTGTGTGGTGGTTCTAAGTTGAGGACACAGCAGCGTTTGGTGTTCTTATCAATCGTACTTAACATCTTGGACATTACTTTTGTGCGTATTTTTGTGCTTAGAAATAACTGAGAACTGAAAAATATGGACTGTAGCTGAGAGGTGATTGTACCATTAATATATCACTGCCCAGTTAATTTGGATGAAATGTGGCAACATTAGTTATTGTGCTCATCAGTAAATTAGTCCAATATACTTTACTTCCATTCTAATTTGCCATAAGATTATCCTTTTTGACAGTATTCCTCCTCTGTTCTTGTTTTCCTTTGTTCTTCTGCTGAAAATCTCCCTTTCTGCCTTAAAGGAATCCAACAGACTTCATGTGAATTTAGTCCATTTACATGTGATATAAAATGTGAAGTCTTGAGGCTACAAGTCATTTCATGTTGCTGACAGTCTTTATGGTGAAAAAAAGAAAGAAATTGCACATATAATGTATAAGTACAATAATTGAATTTCTGGATAATAAAACAACATGCACTTACTTTTTCCGCTGATCCTTTCTTCTAACAAACCTTCTTTCCACTTACTCTTTATGCTGCAACTTTTCTGTTTACTTCTGGCAATCTTTACCTTTGAAGTTAGTCTTTTCCACTGATAAAATGTAATCTTCAGTGGAGACAGTACAGCACCTCTGATCTTTTCGGCTTTTTGTCCAGTGGATAACTGCTCAGCTTGACTGTGGGGGTTGAATATCTGGGTTTAAACAGTTGTGTATCTGCAGCTATTTTAGAGTGGCTCTGCTGCCATCTAGACATGCTTATATTAGAAACAATCCACATGATGCCACTTTGACCAGGGAGATAATGAGTTGAGACACAATGAAGGAAGTGCAACACAACCTGATTAATATATTACTGTATAAAGTTCTCAAGCTCTATTTTTATCATTTAGAAACATATATGACAACAACAATGAACAGTACAGGTACTTGGAGCTAAATGCTAAACTTTGCAGGCTAACATGCTGATGTTGAGCAGGTATAATGGATACCATGTTAACATTTTAACATGTTAGCATGTAAAATTCACTATTTAGCAACAAAAACAAAGTACAGCTGAGGATGATGTAAATATCAGTAGCTTTGGGGGTGTTTAGTCAGAAACCAACGTACTGGACAAAGTGCAATTTTGAACAGATGGTGGTAATACAATAGATGTAAAATTAGGGGATAATTAAAGTTTCATTTCACGACAATCCATCCAATTGCTGTTGGGATATTTCAGCCTGGACCAAAGTGGTGGAGCAACCAACAGATTACCGTTAGTGGGACTGAAATATTCATATTATTTATTATTATTTATATTTGTTTACTCCATCAAGATAAGATGCTGCTGTTTTTTTTTTAAGGTTTTAGGGATATGTTACTTTTAAAGTGATATTGCAATGTTATATTGATTTCAGGTGCAGTACTGTTTGTTAGAATGTAATTGTGAAATGTTCTTGCCTAATAAAATGTCTTCTGTGAATGTTGTTTTGGTCATGATGACCAGAATATAAAACATGTTTCGGTTTGTAAATTAATATGGGGTTCAGTTTTACCAATTACACTGTTTGTTTCAGTAATAAAAATCAATATTTCCACCAATTCAAAGGGATCAAAATGAACAGACTTGCAAATAGTTAAAAGGTTGTGCACACACACACACACACACACACACACACACACACACACACACACACACACACACACACACACACAGTAGATTAGTGGAGCCAGGAGTAAGGTAAGGGTCAGTTCCTTCCCCAGAGTCAGATGGACAGATAAAAGAGCGAAGAGGAGGAGGAACACAGAAGAACAGATAAAGGGCAAAAGCGGACAACAGAGAAAAGAACAGGACAGATTTAATAGAATAATACGCATTTAGCCAGAGCTACAGGAGCCAATTTAGTTATCTATCGGTCCTAGGGGCAGTGGGAGTCCGACAGTGTCAGTCAACTCTGCTCTGGGTTACTTTTCATTTTGTCACAGCAGGACAGTACAGGTACAGAGAACTTTCATCACTATTGCAACCTTGTGATTTTCCCACCACATGGTGCAAATGAAATTTAATTAAAGAACTAATTCGGAAACTTTGATACAACCATGTCGTCCTGTTTGTTTCAGATTAATAAACTGAGAATAATTACCAATAAAGAGTTAAGAATTTTATGGAAAACATTTTATTTTAAACTATGGTGGCTGTATAGTGCTACATACTGTAAAATATGGAGCTTGTTGTGTAAAAAGCAATGTGAAATGTATTATGGCTATCAATAACCACTGATACCAGAGTCAGGATTTTTTATGCATTGATTAAACATGAGTTGTGTGCCCCTATTGTATTGTTTGTTAATGTACATTCAATTTGCTAAGTACCATGCCTCATTGCTTATTGCATGCTGCAAGCATTGTGTGTATCAGTGTTCCTGCAAAACACCAACAATTTCCACTCAGGAATATTATAAAATAAATAAATAATACAGTAGGAAGAAAAGTACTGTGATGTTAATATAGAATATTGTGTTTTGCAAATTATATTTTAAACTATAAATTAGAATTAAAACTACATATACACAGCTCCAAAAAATATTTACACAAAGATAGAAATAGTCCGACAACCTAGCTGAACAATGATAGGTCAAATAAATATAAAACTATTATTACCATACAATAGGGTGAAAAAAAAGAAAGAGTGTTTCTGTAAATTATAAATGATTACAAATTGAAATAAACATTGAAAATAATATGTCCATCATTATAATTATTAACGGATTTTGTTTGGTTATCGTTGGTTAAAAAAGATGATGCAACCAAAGAATGTAATTCATTTTATTCTGAAATATGAGACTTTAAACGACACTTCCGTTCCCCTTTCCGCATTTCGCCGGCCGGCCTGACGCCACATCCTGCCACTTCACCACGAGGCTTTATCTGTATTAAAACAACTTTTAATTTGTATGTCAACGTTCACCGAGTGTGTGCAATTAACTGTTTTGTATTTTATCCGCATTAAACCACTTTATCTGTAATTTACGGACGCTTTGGTAACGTTAGCGAGACGGCCGGGTGCAAACTGCAGAGACAGTTTCATCAGCAGCTCTCTCAGTGAGGGGAGGAGTCGTACACATGCAGAGACCACCTCTGTTCAAGTATTTGTGTGATAAATGAAAGAATAACGGGTTAAAGAAGATGAAGGAGACTCAATAGAAGACGTTAGAAAGGCCAGGTACACACACAGGAGAAGCTAAACTGGGACTTCAGCAGGTCAAGTAAGAAAAAAAGGCTTTTAATTACTTTACCATCAAGGAAACCAGTAAAAAACTTCAACTGTGCATGGGGATACAAGGATCACCCTTTATGTTGCCCTTTAAATATAATAATAATCTCTAATATTTCAGGTAAATACCACAGTTTAAGGTCTTGGCTGATGTTGTGTGTGTGTTTTTCCTCACTCTCTGTGCGTCTCTTTGTGCTTGTAAAGGCATTAAACAAACCATGCTGCTGCAAAGGCTGACCCTGTGTTCAAGGAGCCCACTGGATTTCCAGAGACACGTATGCCGGTTGTTCACCAGGCCACTGACACAAGGCAAGCTATGCTGCAGTAATTCCCATGTAAACACTGTAGATTATGCCGTCATCCAGCAGCCAGGATTACAAAAAAACAGCAAATTTGTTAACCAAGATCTTTTAGATAAAATGGATTCTGATGTAATATAAAGTCTCTGTTGCTGAAATGATCTTTGATTAGCCAGTTGACACAATATTAAACTGTTTTGATATGTCATCATGTTACAAACAAAAAATACCAACAGTTTTCCAGTTGTAGCGTCTCCGTTTTAGAAGATTTTCTGCATTTGTTTATGTTCTATGACATTATTCTGAATATCTTTGTTGTTGTTTTTGACAAAACAAAATCACCTTGGGGCTTTAGCAAACTTTGATGGAAGTTATTCTCTGTTTTCCGACATTTTATTGACCCAACAATTCATTGATTTGTTGAAAAAAGATAGATTAAACAATAATTAAGTAAGTTAGTTAATTTATTTTTTATGTTTCTATAAATTAAAACATTTGTTTTTTACTGCTCTGAGAAAATAAACAATTAGAAGAGGTCACCTCAGGCTAGGGGAAACGTTAATGGGCACTTTTTTTTTTACAGTTTTGTCACTTTATATATGGCCACATGATTTATTGAATAAATGAGAAAAGAAAGAAAAACATTACAGAAAGATTCACCAATAATGTAAATAATTACTTTGTGCTAATAGAATAAGTAATTGTTTAAAAGTTCGAAAGAATCCGGGATTGTGTTTTGATTGTATCAGCATAGTCAATACAGTATCTGCAGGCCGCTGTGGTACACCTGATAGACTGCTGTTGTAACGTACTGTGCAAACTTTGCCTGAGATGAGATTTGCCCCTCTATCTCTTTCTCTGCCCGTCTGTCTCTGCCTGTCTCTCTCATGCGCCTCATTGCTCCAGAGAGATGTGTAATGTCAGCACGGGCTTTTCTGCTTGCACTGCTGATGTGGCAGTTTAAAGGCTGTGATTATCTAGTTTCCCAGGTTACAGATGGATGTTGGGGAGGGCTTTTACTTTGTCTCACTCGTATAATCAATGAAACGAAAAGCCAGAAAAACATTCTTGTTTGCACAGTTATGTAATGTTGGCTGTGTGGAAATGTATAAACCAATATATTGATACGTCAGCTAATTTGTAAGCACAGTTGAAGGTGTCTACACTACCACATTGTTTATTTCTACTTATTTTACTTTCTGATTCCATTTTCAGTTGGGTTTTTATTAAAAATGGATCTCCTAACTAAGTTCCCCATGTAAATTAGATGAAAGAGAGGGTGAATTTCATGGTAAAGTTTTACAGAACCTGAGGAAAGTTAACTCTTTAGGAACTGTTGATTAATTAGTTACAAAAAAATAGTCTGCTTTGTAATTCACCTCAGTGAAATTATCTTTTTCTATTTGGGTATCATGCCATTGTTGGTCAAAGTTAGTTCTCCTTGTGTTTTGCCGACGACTAACATTGAAATACTTGATATAAAACTTCTTCTTCTACTATACAGTTTCCCAGGTTGGGTCCCATGGCAGCTCCTTTGCACACCGCAGCGAACTGCGTCAGGCCAAGAGGATTGTAGTCAAGCTTGGCAGTGCTGTCGTCACCCGTGGCGATGAATGTGGCCTGGCTCTGGGGAGGCTGGCCTCCATTGTGGAGCAGGTGAGAGGCCAAGTACTGGGACAATCTGTACTTGAATGAAGTATAAAATGGATTTGGGGACCCGTAGAAGGTTTGATAGGGAGGAAAATCAGAAGTTCTGTGATATATAAACCCATGAGTGGGGGTTTTCTTTTCAATATACTTTTCAATATACTTTTTTCTGATTGTATTTTATTTCATTTTTTGTGATTTTGTCTTTTTTTCCCCTCCTACTTCTCCTTTACTACCCATCCATGAAATGCTTTGGGACACTGTGACTTTTCATGATTAGAAAAAGGTCTCAATCTCAACGAAAAAGCCATTTTACTCTGTTACCTGCAGTAGTGTCTGGTCATGCAGATAGTTTTAGTTTTATTCTTCCAGGTTTTGAGATTTTTTTCCATAACAAAACAGTAAGTACTGGACCTTTGTTGTCAATGAGTAATAAACCCTAATTCTTGTCTGTGTGGATAATCCACC